AAGAATAGCTGTGCCATTGATGTTTTCTATGAATTCACTTTGTCTCAAACATTCATTGTTAATTTTGCTACTCGTGTTGCTTTGACTCCGTCATGCGTGCGAATTGATTTTTCAGTTCCTTGTTGCTGTATATTTGTCTCCTCTGTTCCAGTCTCCGAATTCCTTAACCTATATCCCATATTTAGATTTAGGTTCTCAAACAATTGAGGCACATTAAATTGCTGCTTAATACTGGGGTAGGTTTGCTGAATGCGTAATATTTTTGGGCAAGATTCCCTCCATGTGTTATATTTGAAGGAATTACCAGCCCCAAAACTAATTAGCCCTTAGTTTGTAATTCATGTTCATTTACTATGTTTTACAGATCGTGCAATAGCTTTCCCAAGTTGTTTTCATCCCCAAGTTCTGGGCCAGGTATTTTCAGTTGGGGTGGAGGAAGGCTTCCTGGCCTGCCACCTGAAGAGTCAGAGGAATCTAAGGAACATTAATTGGTTGGGGATAGGACTTTTCCCTCACAATCTGATTTGACTATCACTCTTTAGTCCTAGCAGCATCAGAAGCTACAGTGGACAGGTCTAGGACTACAAGCAGTTGCCAGAGTCCAAGACCCTCGGGCAGGGAAGGGTGGTGAAACCTGGGATCTTACTGGAAAGGCAGGGAATGGGGGAAGAGGAGGATGTGAGTGTGTTGGGCTGGAGAGTACTGTAGATTTTGTGGCAAGTGGAGACCAATGTTGATGACCACTTTCGGGGCTTTCCTCCTGTTGCTGAACTCCTCTGATCAGTCTGAATAATTAAGCCAGACAGGAAACATTCTTTAAGCGATCATTAATTGGCTACTTAAGGGTCTCATTTGGGCTCAAGGCAGGCAGAGTACCTGAGGTTTTACCCATCCCACTGTAACATTTTGGAGTTGTCAGACTCTCCAGTTGCTATTGGGGAAGCCTTCCGAAGATGTTATGACTGATTTTGTGGCAAGTTCCCACCTCCTACCATCTATATTCTGCTTGTGGATTCCAAGACTGGGAATTTTTTATTCATTCATGGGACGTGGGCGTCACTGGCCACACCAGCGTTAATTGCCTATCCTTAATTGTCCAAACTGCAGATATGTCAACCACACTGCTGTGGATCTGGATTCACGTGTAGGCCAGACCATGTAATGACAGCAGTTTCCTTCCCTAATGGACCTTAGTAAATCAGATGGTTTCTCTGACAATCGACAGTGGATTAATGGTCAATATTAAATCCCAAATTCCAGATATTTATTGAATTCAAAGTCCACTATCTGCCATGGCAAGATTCGAACAGAACACTACCACGGTTTCTACATTAATAGCCCGTCAATAATACCAATAGGCTACCATCTTGCCTTGCGGGAAAAAAATAATGAAATTGGACTTAGAATTGTTTGATATTATGAAAGGATGCAGCAGAGTGCATAGACAGACTGTGTTTAGCCCATGGCAGATATGCAATAAAAATAAACTTTGAACAGAGATGCAGGCCCTGTTTTACATAGAGCATTATTAAACTGGAATGAACACGTGGATTTCTTGATTGAAAGAAGTTGCACATTAGACAATTGATCAAAGTAAAGGGAAATAAATGAATACGGAGAAAGGATGGGTCCATAGGATTAGGTCTGCTACTCATGTTGGATTTTTAATCCGCCTGTTCAAATATGTTATTACACACCTCTAGAGCAGGTTGGACTTCAACCCAGGCCTTCTGGCTCAGACGTAGGAACGCTATCACTGCGCCACACAAGACCTTACCCATGCTGAATAAACATCAGCATGAACTGGATTAGCTAACTATCCCATTTTCTGTTTCCATAAAGTAATTTCAATGTAATTCAATGTAGATGATGCCACAGGAAGTTTTTTTTGGATGATTTATTTTTAGATTATTCAAATATTCTTCTGCCTGTCTCTTAATAACACAGCAGATTTTTTTCTGATATTGTAGTCAATAGTTCTCTCCTCCTCGCACCTATGTAAATGATTTCTGTGCAAATGATTAAGTGCAACCTCTATCAAAAAGAATATTTGATGCATCTTTTCAACTGAAATAATCCAATGGCAAATGTTAAATTATAGGACACCAATGTGTCCTCAATTGATGTTTGAACTAGTGGTGATATTGTCTCACTGTAGAATTCAACTCTTCTAACAATGTGGATCCATGGTCAATCAATCTAAATTTGCATCATTCACTGAGAGAATTAGCAATTTTCAATGAGTCAGGTTCCCGTGAGCTATTGTTTGAAAGAATATTAACTGCTGTTCTAATATAAAATCCATGGTTGCCGCATTAAAAAGTTTCACTCCACATGCACTTTAAAAATTATTAACAACAGTGCAACCCATTATTACTTGATTTTTTTTTTCTTACAAATAAGAGTACCTTTCCATTAATTAGTTTTAATTGATATTTTGGCAATACCTTCCAAAACCTAGGTTTGATTCTGGTAAGTTCTCACTACACCACAGGAGAGCTGGAAGATTCACAGGCAGATAGATCTATGTGTTTTCCAAGGTGCTATGAATTGTGTATGTTAGAGCAAAGTAGTTTAACCATTGGTTGTGAGTGTTCAGAGCATTATCATTTTGGAAAGATAAAAATGTAATTTTTTTGTATTTCAGCGGATGGAAAGCGTTTGGCATCAGTTGGGCTTGATGAAAATCATACAATAGTTCTCTGGGATTGGAGAAAAGGAGAAAAACTTTCTTCGGTAAGGTGGGTATTTCATTCATGTTTAATATAGTATCTCCTTAAAAAACTGAAACACTAACTTTAGAACATTAAACGAACTATTTTCCTGGAGTGTACTTCCAACATCAATCAATTCTCTTCATACTGTATTAGTTTATCATCTGTGCCTTCAACTCATACGCTGTCATACTTTCTATAACTTGAGTTGTTGAATTTCATTTAAAAATGCAGGTTGGTTAACCTTTTCTGAAACCTAAAATAATGCAGATGCTGAAAATCTGAAATGAAATCAAAACTGTTGGAAATACTCATCTGGCCTGACTGTATTTGAAGAGAGAGAAACAGAATTCACTTTTTATGATCTTTTGTCAGTCTTGGAAAGGTTTGGAAATAGAACTGATTTTCAAGCAAGTGCAGTGTGAGAGAAATTGTTGCAGGTTGTGTTGGAAGAGGAACAAACTGAAAGCAACAAGATAGGGTGACAGGCAAATGTTAATGGCAAACGTTTGGTGGCACAAGGCAAAATGTAATGACAATGGAACAAGGAAAGAAGTGAAACATGTATCCAGGGAAGGAATAAGTGGGAATTGTAAAATCGTGAACGGCTTGTATAAAATAAAAAGGAGCAGAAATCATGATCTGATATTGTTGAACCTATGTGGCAAGGCAACAAACTAGTGGTATTATCACTGGACTGTTAATCCAGAGACCCAAGTAATGTTCTAGGGATCCAGGTTCAAATCCTGTGATGGCAGACAGTGGAATTTAAATTCAATAAGATAAAAAAAATTTGGAATTAAGAGTCTGATGATGGCCGTGAATCTGTTGTTGATTATTGGCAAACCCCATTTGGTTCACTAATGCCCTTTAGGGAAGGAAACTGCCATTCTTACCTGGTTTGGCCTATGTGTGACTCGCCCAGATTACTGTGGGTCTGGAGTGTTAACTGCCCTCTGGGATGGGCAATAAATGCTGGCCTAGCCAGAGATGCCGTCATCCCATGAACAAGTAGTTAAAAAAAATGTATTCCAGAAAGCTGAGAACTGACGAATTGAAAGATGAACTTCTGTTTCTCAAGCTTACATTGAGCTTTATTACTGTGGTGCAGGAAGCTGAGGTCAGAGTGAAAGTAAAGCAGATTAACATGACTGCTTTATGGAACACTTTAGTATAGCATACAGGTATCTTTGTGAACTTTTGATCGCCTGTCCTTTGGAGAAGCAACATTTTGCCTTTCAATTAGGCAATTTTACAGCTTTCTGAACTCAAAATTGAGTCCAACAATTACAGACCACTTTTTCAGTTGAGAGCTGTTGCTGATAATTTACTGTATATGCTTCTTTTACACTCTTTGTATGTTACTTGTCCCATTGCTATAATCTTATTTGCCAGTTAACTGTACTCCACTCTATTTCAGACTTTCACTCTTCACCCCCTCCCCTCTACCTTGTTTTTGTGCTTGCTGAAAGCCATTACATTATGAATGTGTTCCCATTCTAACAAAAAATCATCAACATGAAATGTTAACTCTGCTTTACTGTGCAATGTTGCGACTTGATCTGTTGAACATCACCATGTTTTCTGTTTATAGCCCTCTTAGAATTTGACCATTTTGGATTTTACTTATATTTTTTCCAAGTCATTCTGCATTCATTATATACCTGCCAATAAATTCCATGCTTAAGAAAATTAAACTGCAAATGACTTACTCTTTTTTATGTAGCACTGGAGTTTATTATTTATGTAAGCAGCAGCAAAACACTTAACTCAACTTTGTTGCAATGGTGAATAAATTCTATACCACAATTCTCATTTGCTATTATTAATGATTTTCTATGTGATCGATTGTGAAAAAACACAATGAAGTAAAAATCAAATGTGTTTCTTCAGAGGAAGTGCAGAGAAGATTTTTGTTGTCAAATTGAATCCCTATATGCCAGACAAGTTGGTTACTGCTGGGATAAAACACATCAAGTTCTGGCAGCGAGCAGGTAGGACAGTGAATTCTATTATTTTTACATCTGTAATCTTTTTACACAGCTTGATTTCAATAGTATTCCACATTTTCTGCAAGTTTTCTAAATGTCAAGATTTTAGGAAATCATTATTTGGTAGGACATAACTTGAGTAATGCTCATAAAAGACTCATTGGAACAATTCACGATAATAGCACTGTAAAGGGGTAAGTAACATTAATATTTTCTGAGAGTAGAGTTGATTGGTTGACAAATAGTCTCCAACTGGTTGAGGCATTGCCATCAAAAATGTACCTGTCAGACCTGTAGTATGGCACACTTGTATTTGTAGCTTCCAGTACATGCAATTACTTAGGACCCTGTTCTTTGCAGACAGAAAGAACATGTATAGACACCTGAACTTGTTTTGAGGCAGTAAAATTGGTGACAGCTATTCTCTAGTTCATTGGTCAAGGCATTGCCCTGACAAACAAGTTCAACTAGTGTTGTCTAAAAGTTTAAATAAAACTTGATGTGTAACTGTCAGTCATTGTTAATTGGTACATTCTCCATGGCAATGCTTGTACCTATCATAGTCCATTTACCAACCAATTAGCACTCTCCTCTCCTACCGTATAAATGTTGTTATCCCTTTGGTATTTCTTGTGAATCGTCCTAATGAATGCCAGACAAAGAGCTTTGACATCATATGGCTTTTACTCAGTCATATTTAAATTCTGTAATACCAAACATCAAAGGATTATTTAGTAAGTATTGTTCAGTTGCAGAACCACATCTACGTTGGAAAGTGTGTTTTGAGTTTTGCAAACACAGGCTGATTTGTATTAGCAGACCCTTACATGTTGCTAATAACCAAATAGATGTGTTGCTTAATAAGATCAATCTTTGAGATACATAGCCTACATTCTTGATATCATACTAGCAATGAAATTCATATACAATATTACTAATTTGTGTGATTGGGAAGTTTGACTTTGATGGCATTCTGTTCGGGGAAAGGGTGTTGCTACTACTATGCAGGAGCATGAATAGCTAACTCCACCTGTTGCTCAAACTTTGTGATACCTTGCCCTTCCAGAGTGATCTGAGGTAGACTAGGCATTCTTTTCAGGATCAGTAGTGATGGTCTTTGACCAATTGATGAATTCATGCAATATACAGTAAAACGTTTTCTGATTATGGCAGGTACTATGCTGCAAGATGGCTTTGATGTGCTCTATTTCAGCACCAAGCTTGCATGTGAACAAATAATTTGGGGCCTATTTCTGAGGTTGTCAATCTTTAAATGCACAGCACTATAGGTATCCAAATGTGTATATATATTGACCAGTGACCATAGGTTTGCAGCAAACAGTAGTAAAGCACTCCAGTCTGATTTCTCAAGTAAGGAGAGGGAGCTTGTTTGACTGCTCCATTTCAAAAAATAAATTTGACTGCAAGGTGGAGCCCTTTATGAAATTTAAGGGAACATGTGAAACATGTTTATTTTTATGGTTTATATGAGTTCAAGTGGAATCACCTTACTCTCAGTAAGCTTCAGCTTATTTGTAAGTTTACTGGCCACAATTTGTACTTAATGTTTCCGTTTCTTCCTAATTTGGCTATATAATTAAAAAGCAGTTTTCTATAAACACATTTTCCAAGGTGTCATTTTGAAAGAAGTGATTAAAGCATTTCAGTACATTTAATGTGTATATGTGAGTCACACAAATGAATTTGTGGCATGATGGCTCAGTGGTTAGCACTGCTACCTCACAGTGCCAGGGACCTGAGTTTTTGATTCCTTCTGTGTGGAGTTTGCATGTTCACCCATGTTTGTGTGGGTTTTCGCCGGGTGCTCCAACTTACTTCCATAGTCCAAAGACGTGCAGGTTAGTTGGGTTATCTATGGTAAATTGACCTGTGGTGTCTAGGGATGTACAAGCTAGATGGGATAGCCACAATAAATGTGGAGTTACAGGGATGCTGTTTGAAGGGCCGTTGCAGTGTTGATGGGCCGAATGGCTTCTTTCCACACTGTAGAGATCCTATGGTGCTATGAATTTGCCATTGTCCATGTACCATCAGAGAACTTGATTATTTAAATGGAGTCAGAGATAGTAAGCACTGCCAATACTAGAGTCAGAGGTAACAGTGTGGAGCTGGAGGAGCACAGCAGACCAGACAGCATCAGAGGAACAGGAAAGTTGACATTTCGGGTGGGGACTGAAGAAGGGTCCCGAACCGAAACGTCAACTTTCCTGTTCCCCTGATGCTGCCTGGCCTGTTGTGCTCCTCCAGCTCCACACTGTGTTATTTAAATGGAATGTTATTTCATTACATGGGTGTAAGTTCTTTATGTTTAAAGGGTGAACTGGACTTGTGAGATTAGTCTACATTCCTCAAATTGCAAGGTACTGAGCATGAGCAGACTTTCAAGTCAGTACTTTTCATACAGCCTTGCAAACCACTTTCTGATTGACGATTAGGTAAGTCGTAATGCAAGTTCTTAAAACAAAAAAAGTCTAATTGTACTTATACATTTATTTTACAAGGTGGAGGACTGACTGGGAGAAAAGGCTGTTTTGGAAACCTGCGGAAGACAGAAACCATCATGTGTGTTGTCTATGGTTGGACAGATGAAATGATTTTCTCAGGAACATCAACTGGCGATGTTTACATATGGAAAGATATGTTCATTATTAAGAGAATCAAAGCCCATGATGGACCAGTTTTCAGCATGCACGCCCTGGAGAAAGTAAGAAGTAATGAAAACCTGTCGTTAATAGAAGCTATAGAAGATCGAAAGCGGACTTTCAAATGATGCTTTGATAAGCATGGCTGTCTTTTTAGCCAATTTTATAACATTATCACCTTAAAAGGCAATGTCTACTCACAATGTAATGTAAGATCTCGCAGTTATTAGTCCCCTAACTCAAACTTTTCTTTTTGTATTCTGCAAGCTATTGTTATTTCAATTACTTAAAAATTTAATTTATAAACAGCATCTGCAAGGCATGTGGCTGATTTCACTTTTAAATTGAAACTCTGAAATTTCCTCACCCTGGCCACTCCACCATCGTCCATAAATTCCCATGCATCTAAACTGTCTTGCTCATACACTGTTCCACAATAGTCCAATTCATGTATCACCTCTGTTCTTGCTGAACCCTATTGCTTTAAATTTAAAATACTCAATCTTGTATTCAAATTCTTTCATGGCATCACCACATTCTGTCTCTGTATCAATTTGCAGCCCAAAAATTTGCAAGAAGTCTGAATTTTTCTAATTCCAGTCTCTTGTGCATTTTCTACCTCCTAAAATTGGTGTCATGCCCAAACTCTGGAATTTCGTCCATTTACCTCCTGTCACCTTCAAGAACCCCCTCACAAGCCCATGCATTGACAAAGTAGTATTTCCTAATACATATTTCCTTTGTTAGAATCAAATTCTGTGTCTCATTATGCTTCTGTGAAGTGCTTTCAGCATTTTTCTACATTACCAATGATATATTAGTACGATACACATTATACCTATTATTGTAGGGTCACAAGTTTATTAGATGTTAAGTGTGCCTCAGTGACAGTAATGTTGTTGTTTAGTCAAAAGTTATGTGTTGAAACCTATCTTTCTAAGAAGACTTTAACATGAGAACTTTTCTGTTCTCTTAAATGAGTATAAAAATAACTTCTTTAAAAAGGGCAACAAGTGCAGGAGAGTTCTCCTGGCATCTGGCAACATAAATATTGACTTTGCCTAGGATAGCTTAAGGCAGTGAAGGGTGTTATATGAATGCAAGCTTACTTCTTGTTTCTTCCCTTTTTAAGATAGTACCTTTTTATATTTTGTGCGTATTTTTAATACATAGAGTTACTTATATTAGCTACTTAGAAAAGTGGAATTTCTTTTCTTCATGGGATGTGGGTATTACTGACTGGGCCAGTGCTTATTGTGCTTACCTAGTTGCCCTCGAGAAGGTGAGCTGCTTTCTTAAACCTCTGCAGTTTATGTGCTGTAGGTAGACCCACAATACGCTTATGGAGGGAAGTCCAGGATTTTGACACAGTGACAGTGAAAGAATGGCAACATATTTTGAAGTCAGGATGGTGTATAGATCGGAGGGACCATGCAGCTTGTGGTGTTCCAGTCTGTCCCTTCTAAATGTAATTGGGCATGGGCTGGTGGCTTACTTTGAATAACTTATTTCTGCCTTTTTAAAAACTTTAGAAACAAAATTACAGAACCAAGTTCCACAGTTCTGCTAGATTTTTACTATTTCTAAACATGATGTATAATCCCTACTGTGCTAATAAGTTAATATTATAGAAAATGTGATCATTTTGAGTTATTTTGGATTAAATGAGGTTTTAAAAATAGATATATCGTCCATTTTTTATACAAGCTTGTTCTTCTTTCTCCAGGGATTTGTGACTGGTGGAAAAGATGGCGTTGTTGTCCTCTGGGATGATAGTTTTGAGAGATGTCTGAAAACATACAGCATCAAACGTTCTGCACTTGCTCCAGGCTCTAAAGGTAACCATTTACCAACGATCTGCCATGTTATCTGGTCAGTTCCTAATTACAAGATCAGTATTTATCTCTCTGCTGTACTCCTTTCCTTTCCTTTACTACTTGCTGCCTTGGTTATCAAGATTCATTCACCTATGGTATACTATTCCACTTTAAATTGCTTAAGTTTGCTCAGACCCTGACTGTCATCTGTTTCGGCTTCTATTTACCGATGTTATACCAATCTGTGTTTAGTTAGAAGTGGGGATTAAGATTACTGGAGATCTTGAGTTAAGAGAGATGAGAAAAGATGTCAAGACAAAATGACTCCGGCACAAAGGTTGAGGTGTCACAGAACTCAGAGGCAATCAGCATTGCACAGGGGGAGGCAATTTGTCCCATTTGGTTGTGCAATATTCAGTATTCTTAAAATGCTTGTGGATAGTTGTGCACTTTGTCCAGAAACTATACTACTTGTTTTTATTTATTCACTCATGGATGTGGGATATGGACATTGCTAGCTAGACAGTATGTATTGCCTGTCCCTAGTTGCCCCTGAAAAGGCAGTGGTGAGCTTCAACCTTGAACCACCACAGTTCATATGATGTAGGTAGACCCACAGTGCCGTTACAGAATTCTGGGATTTTGATCTAGGGACAGTGAAGGAACAGCAATATATTTCCAAGTCAGGATGGTGAGTGGCTTGGAGGGGAACTTGCAGAAGGTGTTCTTAGAATCTTCAGTGTGGAAGCGGGCAATTCAGCCCATCAAGTCCCACTGACCCTCCGAAGAGCATAGCATCCAGGCCCACCCCCTGTAACCCTGCATATCCATGGCTAATCCACCCAATCTACGCATCACTGAACACTATGGGCAATTTAGCAAAGCCATTCCACCCAACCTGCATATCTTTGGACAATGGGAGGAAACCAGAGCACCTGGAGGAAACCCAGACAGACACGGGAAGAATTTGCAAACTCCACACAGTTGCCCAAGAGTGAAATGTTCCCATGTATCTGCTGCCCTTTTCTTTCTCAATGGAAGTAGGTGTGATTATTATTAGTTTTATAGCTAATGCATTGCTTAGCAATTCATATTGGATCTGTCCATGCAAATACTTGTGATCAGAATTCTTTGCTAAAATTCATGAGAAGTTGCAAAGCTCCCAACGTTAATGGTATTGCTTAATTTCCTCTAACCAAGTCACCCAACTCCTGTACTCTTCATTCTCTCCTTAAACTTCCAATCCAGTTCTTTCCCTGTTGCCTAATCTTCGGCTTACTGTTTCGTGAAGTTTGCTGCCATGACTTTTACTGACTTATTTTGATGCTCTTCTGGTCATTCCTCTTGTCCCTATACTTTTCTAAGCAATAATGTTTACTGACTGTGACTCTTTACCCCGTTCCTATCTTATAGAATTTATTTTCTGATAAAGAATATTTTTGACAAATGTACTCTATTTTTCTAAATAGAGTTCAACACCTATTTTTCTGCTTGTCTCCAATTTGTCTTGTAAAATTCGATATAGCCTTTTTATCCTCAGTGCTGCCATTAATTTCAGTTGTAGTCTGATTACATTTATCCAGCCCTTCCACTTTTACCTTCATCCATAATGATATATTATCTATAGTAGATTACTAATACAAAACTGGAGAATTACTTTAAAAAGACACATTTGTCAAAGATTTTCTTCTTGTACTCATCAGCACACTTCATGAGAAATACCAAAGTAAGGGGAACTCAACCTTTTTTGTATGAAAAGAGAGTTCTGATTGGTAGAGGTTTTTCTATAGACAATGCATCAGTTAATGATGGGTGACAGTTAACTGCCAAGCTTCATTTAAATTGAAACCAGATTGTTTAACTCTGGTCAAGGCATTTCCCTGTGAAATGAACCAGATAATGACTGTTGTCTGTTTTGTTCTGTTGATCAGACACAGCGTGTGGATAACTTCTTTCTGTCTGCAAAGAACAGGGCCCTGTTATTAATGTACATAGCTTCTAGTAGACACAAATGAGCCAGACTGCAAGCCTAATTGACAATACTAAATTGGTTGCTAGCGTAACTCTTTGCACTCTCAGGATTATTTATCAAATTGCTGAATGTCATCTAATGTTGGACACCCTGTTTTGAGTTTTGCAAGTGCAAGCTGGTTGGGTATGGTTAGTACCTTTATGAACAACTGAAGGAAGATGTTTTTAGATATAGTCTGTCACTTTTTGGGTAGCACAACTTAATACTTTGCATCACACCAGCTCTAAAATTCATATACCACACTATTTACTTGTGATAGGTAGAACATAGTTGACTTGACAGCAGCATCCTGTTAGTGGTGGACACCACTCATGTTCCTACTGCGTACTAACTGTGTGAAACAGTTTCACCTGTTGCTTTGAGATACCTGTCCTTCTAGGGTAATTGACATAGGCTGGGCACTTTTCACAACTAAAGGTGAAGGCCTTAGACCATTTGTGTGTTTATATGATATACTGCAAAAAATAATCTGATGGGAAAGCTATTATTCTGCAGACAGAATGCTGTTTCAACTCAACAAAATAGGTGATTGCTTCCCTCTAGTTTACTTCTCAGAGTGATGCCCCGACCAATCTTGTCAATCAGCCTGGTTTAAAATCTTAGCAATTAACTGTCAGTTGTCATCTAACCGGTTTATTCTCCATGCCAATGCCAATCAAAGTCCAAAGATCAACTAATCAGCATTCTCCTCTCAGTAAAAATGTTTTTTTTTTCCCCCTTTGCTTTGTTATTTCTTGTGAATTGTCCTGATGAGTGCAAGAAACAGGAAACAGTAGGAATAAAAATGTCTTTTTCCAAGTGGCAGGCAGTAACTGTTTGGATACTGCAGCAATCAGTACTTGGACCCCAGCTATTTACAGTATATATTAATGATTTAAATGGGAAAACTAAATGTAATCTCTCTAAGTTTTCAGGTGACACAAAGCTGGGTGGAAGGGTGAGCAGTGAGGAGGATGCAGAGATGCTTCAGAGTTGAGTGAATAGGCAAATGCATGGCACATGAAGTATAATGAGAATAAATGTAAGTTTATACACTTTGGTAGCAAAAACAGGAAGGCAGGTTATCATCTAACTGGTGATAGACTGGAAAGGGGTTGGTACAATGAGACCTGAGTGTCCTTATTCACCAGTTGCCATAAGTAAGCATGCAGATGCAGCAGGAGTCAAAGAAGGCAAATGATATTTTGGTCTTCATAGAGGATTCGAGTACAGGAGCAAGAATGTCTTTCTGTAATTGTATAGGGCTTTAATGAGACCAGACCTGGAGTATTGGTGAATTTTTGTCTGAGGAAGCATGTTCTGTTTATGGAGATAGTCTGGGAAACCTTTGTTGCACTGATTCCTGGGATGGCAGGACGGACGTAGGAACACCAGATTGGTTAGGACTATTTACTAGAGTTCAAAGGAATGAAGGAGGAAGTCTCATAGAAACTTAAAAATTCTAATAGAACTAGCCAGGGTGAACTTAAGGAAGGATGTTCCGATGGCTGGGTAGCCCAGAACCAGAGGTCGTAATTCAAAGATATGGGATACATCATTTAAGACTGAGATCAGGAGAAATTTCTTCACTCAGTAAAGGGTCGGTTTGTAGATTTTCTGCCACAGAAGGCAGCTGAGGCCAAAACATTGAATATTTTCAAGAAGGAGATAGATATAATTCTTAGGGCTAAAGGGATCAAAGGATATGACAAAAAAACGGGAACAGGTTACTGACCTGGATGATCATATTGAATGATGGAGAAGGCTGAAAGAGCTGAATAGCCGACTCCTCTTAGTTTCTATGTTTCTCAAAAGAAAAGCTTCAACAAATGTGTCTTTTCTTAGCCATAGTCAGTTGTCTAACGCAAGTTTACCTGCAACAAACACTTGATTTCAAATGTAAATTATTGGTGATTTTGTCCAGTGTTGCTAAGCAATGAAATTACATGATAATAAATGTATAACTTGTATTAATTAGTCTCACAATACTATTACTGTTGTGGCAGGGTTAAATCAGATATTTGCATTAATGATTTTTCATTTATTTTTTAGGTCTGTTGCTAGAAGACAACCCTTCTATTCGTGCCATAACGTTAGGCCATGGCCATATATTAGTGGGTACAAAGAATGGGGAAATATTAGAAATTGAAAAAAGTGGTCCCATTACCCTACTGGTTCAGGTATCACTTCTAAAGACTGATGTACTTTTTGGTAAACCTGATTTCTTGTTTATTTATCGATAAACTTAGGGACTGTTTTATTCAGGTACATCTATTGATGATTATCTGTGCTTTTCCTTGGAATAAACAGATCAAGGGCTATGATTTGAATATTTGAAAGACCATTTCGTACCTATTTTAACCTTCTTTAAAACTTGTTGTTAAGGTAATACTTGAACCCCCAAATGCTCAGCTACCCGTTTTTATGTTAGCTCTTGACAAAGTCAGAAATTGAATCTGTCCAAGAGTATTGTCATCTTGCCAATCTCAAGAAAGCTTTCATTCCCCTGCTTCAAGTTAAATTAGGCCTGCCTTTCCTCTGTGAGGTGCTTTCAACCTATTTGTGTTAATTCTCCTTACAAATGAGCGCAAAAAAAAATGGCATTCATTTACCTGACTACTTAACTTGTGTTCAATACCAGATGAGTAGGCAAGCCCTCGTTCCTTCTGAGTTGGATAATAGCTTTAAAGCCGAATGTCATGTCCTGTAGCGTAGCCAGAGATCAAACAAATCCTTTGTTGCTATGCTTCAGATTATTGGATATTTCATGTCTACAGATTAGACCATAGATATAGGAGCAGAATTAGGCTATTCAGCCCAATGTGTCTGCTGCACCATTCGATCATGCTGATATGTTTCTCAACCCAATTCTCCTGCCTTCTCCCCATAACTTTTGATCTTTTTACTAATCAAGAACTTATCTATCTCTCTCTCTCAAATACACTCAATGACTTGGACTCCACACCATTCTATGGCAATGAGTTCTACAGATTCACCACCCTCTGGCTGAAGAAATTCCTCCTCCTCTCAGTTCTAAAGGGTTGTCCCTTTACTCTGACACTGTGCTCTTGGAGACACTAGTCTCCTCGTGGGAACATCTTCTCCACATTCTTTCTATTTAGGCCTCTCTGTATTCTTTAAGTTTCAATCAGATCCTCCTCATTCTCCTCAACTCCATTAAGTATAAACTTAACCACTCCTTATGTGACAAGCTCTTCATCCCTGGGATCATTCTTGTAAGCCTCTTCTGGACCCCTCCAATGCCAGTATATCCTTCCTTAGATACAGGGCCCAAAACTGCTCACAATATTTCGAGTGCAGTCTGACTAGAGGCTTATACAGCCTCAGCAGTACATCTCTGTTCTTGTATTCTAGCCCTCTTGAAATGAATGCTAACATTGTATTTGCCTTCCTAACTGCCAATTGAATCTGCATGTAAACCTCTAGAGATTCCTGAGTTAGGACTCCTATATCCCTTTGTGTTTCAGATTTCTGAAGCTTTTCCCCATTTAGAAAATAGTCTAAGCTTCAATTCTTCCCACCAAAATTCATAACCTCACACTTTCCCACAATGTATTCACCACTTCTTTGCCCGCTCTCCTAGCTTGTCCAAGTCTTTCTGCAGTCTCCCTGCATTTTCAACACTACCTGCCCCTCACCTGTCTGCGTCATCTGCAAACCTACCAACAATGGCCTCAGTTCCTTCGTCCAGATCATTAATTGTATGATATGACAGTTGTGATACCAACATTGACTCCTGCAGAACTCCACTAGTCACTGGCTGCCATCCTGAGAAAGATCCTTTTATCCCCACTCTCTGTCTTTTGCCAGACAGCCAATCCTCTCTCCATGCCGGTACCTTGCCTCTAACACCGTAGGCTCTTATCTTATTTAGCAGCCTCCTGCGTGAGATCTTGTCAAAGGTATTCTGGAAATTCTCCTCAACTTCAAAAGTTAGTTTAAATTAACAATCAATTAAAACATTTAAAGCACCTTGCAACATTCAAAGACACAAAAACATCAAAAGAACTTCCAGGGAAAAGGCAAGTAATTGACAAATGAACTTCACCAGAGGTACATGTAGAATGGTAAATTTAAGTAGGAAAAATAAGGAAGCCAGAAATTCCTTCAAAAATATTGTCTGAATGGGCTGGAGGAACAGAGAGATTTGGGGTACAGAAACAACCTCACATAACTGCTTTTAACAATTTAATATGGCTATATTTTTTTAAAGAAAAAGACCAGCTCTGGCATCTATTCCTAAATTTGAATTGAAAAGTAGAGAAATTGAGTTAAACTTGTACAGTATCTTGCTTAAACTACACTCAGAGTACTCAGTTTTTGTCTTAGATTTTAATGTCTCCGTCTGTGTCAGAATGGAGATGGGCCAAGGGAATCATAGTCTGAGTTTGGGAGCCTTTTTTAAAGTTAAGTTTGAAAGGCTTTACCCATGTCCATCTATTCCCCTTCTTTCTTTTATACCTCTTTCATTCCCTCCTCTATGTCCATTTGCCCATCTTAGACTATGTATAGAACTATTGATCCACATCATATCGACGGCAAACCCTGAAATGCTGAAGAAATGAAACATCTATTCAAGTATCAGGTTTAGAAAGAAAAACTACTATTTTTTTAAACCCGATAAAAGTGTTGATCAGATAGAGCCTTTCATAGTGGCAGTAATGGCAGCTTTCCTTCGGTTTACATTCTCTTCACCATATTATTGTCTGTATGTTTGTTTGGATAAAGCCAAACATAAAATGATTAACTTGCTATTACCTGAAAGGTATTAATCTGTCAAAGCAAACACTAAACTACCACCTGTCAAAATTGAACCCCTGCAGAGTTGATCCATTTTTGGGCTTTGGACCCCAACCAAGCATTCATAATGATTCCACTCAGAGAAACAGCTGTCTGGCCAACTGTGTCTGTTGACAGTGTTCTCAATTAGAGCTGCCCACCTCAAATGCAAAAAAATCCAGCTCTCAGCCTCCATTTTGTAGGCAGGATGTAAAGGTGCTGAAGAAGATTTTTTTTAAAAAAACGTTAAGGTGAGAGATTGTAACTATCAGGAAATATTGAACAGGTTGGGGCTGATCTTAGAAAAGAGAACATTGAGAAGTGCCCTGATAGATGTCATTTAGATTTTGAAAGTGTTTGATTGGATAGGCATAAATGACATGTTTACACTTCCAACGGAGATTGGAAGTAGGGGCAGCAGATGGTGGTTATTAATAAGTTCATACAGAACTTGTTTATCAGTGGTGGTTAGCATGTGCAACTCACTACCACATGAAAAAGTCATAGTGACTTGTATAAATACAGAGATCTCTGTGCACAGGCATTAAGCAACATCTGAATGGCCTGGATATAGCGAAGGCAGTGAACAATTAGAATATCTTCACTTTGCTGCCTAAGGTACAGATTGACTGAATATTTCCTTAGCCAAACTATTCCAATGCAGTTTGACACTGGCATCCACTAGACTTCTCAGTAGGATTTAGCTTTGCAAAAAATGCTAATTGTTTTTGTGATAAAAGCTGTGTTTTTTTTTAAATTGTGGAATGTGGTGTTGCTGGCTAGGCTAGCATTTATTGCTTATCCATAATTGCCCTTGCTAAGCCACTTCAGAGGGAAGCTTAGCATCAGCCACATTGCAATGGGATTGGAATCACATGTAGCCAGACCACGTAAGTTGGTAGATTTCCTTTCCTAAAGGACGTTAATAAACCTAATGGGTTTTTACAACAGCTGACAGTGATTACATGGTCACTGTTTGGTTAACTCTTAATTTCAGTTTTCATTATTGAATTCAAATTTCAGAATCTGCCTTGGCAGGATTAGAACTTCTGTCCCCAGAATGTTAGCCTGGATTCTGGATTACTCGTCCACATTACCACTATTCCATCTTTTTAGAGCTTGGATTTTAAACTGGTGGAGTGGCCTGAGCATGTTCACTTATTTTTGTGAAAGAGTTTAAAAATTAGCTTGGTCGGTCTTTCTGAAACCAGGATTTTAAGCCAGTGTGTGTCAGGGAGAACAGGTGACTGCAGAGACACGTGGAATGTTAATGGAAGTTTGTTTATATTATGGGGGTTTATGACAGCAGAGGAAGAAAGTAAGCCATCAATTTAGCAGAAGCAATGTTTTCTTCTTTAAGTTAGTTCAAAGACTTCTGAAAATTCAAAGGAGACCTGACTAGAGTCAGAAGCAAGTATAGTCTCTCTAAGAAAAGGAGATTGTTGAAAGCAGTTAAGGATACAAGTTAACTCAGTGAAAGGATGTATTTTGTGAGACTTCCAGACCAGGACTGTTTGGTAAGAAATCTGGAGATTATTAGAAACTTTAAGCCTTCAGTTGGGTGCAAGGTAAAGAAAAGATGGTTTCGCAGTTCATGGAACTGGAACTGAGAAGGAACAATTAAGACAATCGTACAGATTAGATAGGGAAATTCCTGCTGGCTTTGAAATTGGTAGTGTTCGGGAGTAGATTAGATTTTGTTTTGCCATGTATCTTGAAATTTTACAAACTGTGTAAAATGTAGATCTTTAAAAATGTTATTATTTCTTTTGTGTAATAAATTTCTGTTATTATTGAAACTAAAAATCTGCAACCTGGCATGCTTATGTTTCAGTGAAAGACTGCTGTATTAAATTAATATTTTTTAAAAAGATCCATCCATTTTTGGACTTGACTTCTCCTGTAGTAACTTCAGCTGGGATCATAAAACTTTATATAATTTTAACATGGTACTGAAAAAAAAATCTCCAGGTCAGTGGCTGTTTAAAATGTAATTTTTTAAACAGGCTGAAGGAAGAGGTGAGATCACTTATAACTATGATTGAATACTGTTGTGAATTTATGTTTACTAAACCATAATATAAATCTAATGGTTGGTACTACATTTTTCCTATACTATTCAAGATCAACATTTCAATGTTTACAATTTTTATTTCATTATAACTTTTGTTTGGCAGGGCCACATGGAGGGTGAAGTGTGGGGTTTAGATGTTCATCCCCATTTACCTATCTGTGCTACTATTAGTGATGACAAAACCCTGCGAATTTGGGATCTCTCCCCAAGCCACTGTATGCTAGCTGTCCGCAAACTAAAGAAAAGTAAGCAAGAAAGCAATGTCAGTTAACCTCTTTATGAAAGTTATTAATTAGTATATTCTGTATTGCATATTTTAAACTATTTTGTGATTATCTCAGTACTGTAACCAAATCTACCTTGGACCTCGCCTTCCATCGAATGAAATAATGCTTTTATGTTAGCTTGTTTAAAATATTAGTCACAAATCCATACTAGAATTTAGTACGAATAATTTCATTGAAATAATGTAGAATCAAGCATTTCAGAAGCATTTTAAAAGAGAATCATTGTAGGATTGGTTTTCCTCTCACTTGCTTTTCCCTGCTTCTGATTGAAACACCATGGGCAAAGTATGTTCTACTTTCCAATCTGAAATGCACTACAACAATCCTGGGTCAGAAATGTGATCTGGGAACATCCCCTGTTTATTCTTCTGTGCAATTTCATGACTATCCAAAGCTCCTACATTCTAAGTTATAAAATTTCTGCTTGAAAAACTTCTCAGTTGCTCCTATTGTAATTTGCTTTTGTTGACCATGGAAGAATTTGCCTTATTTTGAGTTGTGAAAGATGTATAGAAATATCTGAAATATCCTATGTGAGATTTGAAATTTAGTTATTAAAAAGAAATGATTTGTGTCTTTTGAACTCCTGTTTATTTGAATGTTTTCTTCACTCAGAAGAATTAACTTCATAGCATTATTCATATACAAAGGAGTAGTGAGATGCTCATGTTGGTGTTAGACCTCCACAGTGGCTGCTTTGCTGATTTGAATGAATGATTGAATGAATGAATGGATTAATTAATTAACTTTATTGTCACATGTACTGCAATGAGTATAGTGAAGTTTGCAAGTAACACATTTGTAGATGAAGGCACAAAAGCTATTGAAAGACCTGAAGAATACCTCCAATCAGGACCCAGCAAAATATGGGTTTTGCCTATATGTCAGTTGCTGTCGGACTCTCATGCAGAAGTAGTGATAGAGCAAAATGGATTCTGTTCTATGCGGATGTGGTGAGGTTTGCTAAATGATGAACATCTCCTAGAAAACCCTCCACTGCCAGAACCATGCAGCCCTGAAGGTCTGAGTTTTGAATCTTTGAGCTAAGACCCTCCAGGGAGAGCTAAGAGGAAGACGTAGAAATTCATCAAAGTGATGATTGGTGGATTCCACCCAGCCTTGAATGGCATGTAGGTGAGCAATTCCAAGGCCTTATCCAAATTTTTTGACAGTAACTATACGTTGTTTCACTTATCTTAGAAAGTTGATGCTAAATTTTGTCTACCCCGCCATTACTGTTGTGGGAAAAATTTTGGGCAAACGAATTGCTGACATAATCTAGCTGACTGTTGACAGATCTTTGTGTTACTCCATGAGAAATTAATTTTACTTGTGAATGGTCAATTCCTGTGTCAACATGTGGAAAAGTTGCTCTGAAAGCCATCTCCAAGTGGCAGCATGACCCGAGCATTATAAATGTTGAACATAGAGTTGGTATTTCTAATCAACAATTCTGAGAAAGATTTTATTTGTGAAACACTGTAAGCTAATGACAGGTTCAACAAAAGTTATAAATTGACAATCAGGAGTAAGTTTTCTATTCATGAAATATACTGGACAGTACATTTTGAGGAGGGGAAAGACAAGAATATGAGTGCTTGTGGCTTTAGTAAACACTGCAAATCACTAATGGGCCAAGCAGCAAAATAAAGTAAATGATTGTAACTAACATTTGTTAGAATGACAAAATCAAAATTATCTCCATCTTAGATGAGTTCTGGAAAGTGCCAGCAGAATAATATAGTACACTTATAAGACCTCTGTCATTCTTGTCAGGGTTTATAATGTTATTTATCTTCTTTGACCATGTGATATATTGCTTCAGTAAATTTGCTATTATAGTATTGGATGAGCCAGGACTGAATAAAATAGAAATTCATTCCAGGTTCAGGTAAATGGTGTGGACAAAGGAGGTGTTTATTCACTGATAAAGTCATCTTATTGAAATAATTGTTTGTAAAATGTTCTATTAGTTTTAAAGCAAGCTTTAAGTTATGATGCATATCCAATTGCAAATAGATTTCGGACATGGTTTGTTAGAAAAAAGCAGCATCTAGCAATAATACTAGTACAATGTCTATGTTGTCATAATTATAGGTGGCAGGTGTTGCTGTTTCTCTCCTGATGGGAAATCACTTGCAGTTGGCCTAAATGACGGAAGTTTCCTGATTGTAAATTCAGACACACTCGAAGATCTTGTTTCATTCCATCATAGAAAGGAGCATATTTCGGATATTAAGTTTTCCCCTGGTATGTAGGCTAAGTTTAAACCACATATTATTGAATCAATTCTTCTGCTTTCTCTGAAAATTAGTCAGTTTTATTAAAAATGGAAAGGATTTAAATTATTGTAATTTTTCCTTGCACATGAAAATTGCAGCTTAAAATATCAACATAACAGGAATGTTTGTAGTTGTTCAGAAAGCAAACAGTTATATTTGGAACATGAGAAACATTTAAATGTTTTAGTACATTTTTTCCCCACTCTTCTTGGAGCTGGTGGAATGGTGATGTCAGTGTCAGAAAATAAAATACTTAATCATTTTGTCCACCCAGCAGGCTCATTTATTTCCTGAACTTCATAGTCAGTTGTTTAGTACACATTCATGAAGAATTTTGCATTGAAACTAGTGACTATTAGAGATCCAAAGTAGCATGACACCCTGTACAGGCAAACAGCTGCTACATTCTAAGGCAATGAGAACCCACTCCTTCATCTTTGCTATGTTTCCATTTCCCACATCACACATTAACCACCTTAGTGAGCAAGGCTGCCAACTAATATTAAATAATGTGTTGTATTTTTGCTCATTAGTAACTCAAAAGAGAATGGCCGGGCTCATTTCACTTAAGAAACTTATTATCCCAATCAGAAAATGATTGAACAAGCTCCAAACGTCAGCAAGACTCATTAGTTCACTATTTCTATTCACAATTAAGAAAAATCATGTGCCATTCATGAGAGGTTTTGAATTGCATAATGCATCAACTAGTCAAAATTAGTTGCTTTTGCTTCCCCTCTAAATAATTACAGACCTGGGCTGATGTCTGTGCCTTCAAAGTGTAGTTGTTTAATTCCAATTCTAGACTTTATGATTTGATCATGATTTGTGATTGTTCTTATTTTCCTGGCTTCTTAGTATTTTGCTGCCTGCCCCTTCCTTTAAACTCATTTATACCATCAATAGTGGCACTTCCTTTAAAATATTTCTTGAAGGATCATGAATGGTACTGAATTAGAAGTTAAGTATCAACACTTTTACTAAAAGTTGTACAAATAATACTGTTCAGGCCTTTATTCAAAATAATAGAAAAAGTAAGACTAAGATTATTTTTTCATTGCACACTACTTAAATAGTTATCAAAAGCACGTGTAATGATGTGCTCTAAGAATAAACTAGATTGTTTCCCTTGTGCTTCCTATTTTGTGTTCATCCATCTACATTCATGAAACCTGAGGTGGATAGATCATGAACAGAGCCATCGATGCCATCAGCAAATATTCCTTGGTCATATAACATTTTGTCCATTCCATAGGTGAATCAATCGGGAATTCAGGAATGTCACATCCACGTCCAAATGTTAGTTTAGACTGGGATCCAAACACATCTGTCATTAGATAAAACTCAAAACTACTTTGCAGTGGTATTAGGGATCCCATAAACTGGTGGTTTTGCTTCTATTTCTCTTTTTACATGAATATTTTGCTTATTTTTCTCATGGATCATGTGAAACATAGGGATTTTAAGTCGCTGATGCTCCTTTAGCATCAAGCTCTCCCAAGTTATTTAAAGCATGGTAGAATCCAAATCAAAGATCATTCTAATCTGCCATGATTGTGTGCATAATTGAAATTTCTTTTGATACATACAATTCATATATATGTTGGGAAACAAAGTAAAATTTCAAACTTTGCTGCTGATGCCAAATTTGGAAGTGAGGCAGGCAGTGAGAATAAGACCAGTCAATAGGATCCAACATAAATAGACTTGTGATTCGGTAGACCAGTGGCAGATAGAATTTAATACCGAGAAGTTTAAGGTGATGTTTGTTGGCAGAAGGGATAAGGAAAGGCAATATGGACTAATTATCACAACTGCAAAAGTGTACAGTCACAAAGGGGCCTGCAGGGTTTGAGTGTTTAATGTTTGAAGAGCAGAACTCATTGCGAGTGTGGTTAGCAAAGCATATGGGATCTTGTGCTTCATAACTAGAGGCACTGGGTAGAAAATCAAGTCATGCTGAAACTTCATAAAGCTTTAGTCAGGCCACAACACAGTATTACATATGTTTCCCTTCACTACATTTCAGAAACTATGCAATGGAGTAGAAAAGATTTACCAGATGGTTCCTAGTATGCCATTTATATAAATGATTTGGATATGAATATAGGAGGAATGGTTAGTAAGTTTGCAGATGACACCAAAATTGGTGGTGTAGTGGGCAGTGAAGAAGTTATCTCAGAATACAACTGGACCCTGATCCAATGGGCTGATGGGCCGAGGAGTGGCAGATGGAGTTTAATTTGAATGAATGTGAGGCATTACATTTTGGTAAGGCAAGTCGGGGCAGGACTTGTACTTAATGGTAGGGTCCTGGGGAGTGCTGCTGAATGAAGAGACCTTGGGGTGCAGGTTCATAGTTACTTGAAGGTGGTGATGCAGGTAGATAGGGTAGTGAAGAAGGCATTTAGTATGCTTGCCTTTATTGGTCAGTGCATTGAGTGTAGGAGTTGGGGTGTCATTGTTGCAGCTGTACAGGACATTGATTAGGCCATTTTTGGAATACTGCATTCAGTTCTGGTCTCCCTGCTATAGGAATGATGTTGTGAAACTTGAAAGGGTTCAGGAAAGATTTGCAAGGATGTTGCCAGGGTTGGAGGGTTTGAGCTGTAGGGAGAGGCTGAATAGGCTGGGGCAATTTTCCCTGTAGCTTTGGAGGCTGAGGGGTAACATTATAGAGGTTTATAAAATCATGAAGGGCATAGATAGGGTGAATAGCCATGGTCTTTTTTTCTAGGGTAGGGGAGTCCAAAATTAGAGGGCGTAAGTTTAAGGAGAGAGGGAAAAGATTGAAAAGTGATCTAAAGGGCAACTTTTTCATGCAGAGGGTGGTGTGTGTATGGAATGAGCTGGCAAGGAAGTGCTAGAGGCTGCTACAATTTAAAACATTTAAAAGGCACCTAGATGGGTACGTGAATAGGAAGTGTTTAGAGGGATATGGGCCAAATGTTGGCACATGGGACTAGATTAATTTAGGATATCTAGTCAGCATGGACGAGTTGAGCCAAATGGTCTGTTACTGTACTGTACAACTTTGACTCTCAGATGAGAGATTTTTCAATGTAACCTTAGGCTGGAGAAGCCAGCATTGTTCTTTTCAGAGCAGAGGACAGTGAGGAGAGATCTGATGGTGGTGTATAAGATAGACAAGGAAAATCACTTCCCTTTAGCCAGGGTACTGGGAAATATAGATTTAAGACTTTGAGAAAGAGATAAAAAGATTATGTGAGGAAGTACTTTTTTGACACAGCAAGAGGTAATGATCTAGAACTCCATGACTATGAGAGTAATGAAAGCAGACACAGTTGGATGGGCACTGAAAGAAATAAGCTTGCAGGGCTACGAGTGTAGAGAAGAGGAATGAGACTAACTGAATTACTGTAGTCAAAACCAGACTTACTTAATGAGCTGAGTTGCCTCTTTGTATCTATTCATGACTGTATTGGGTATAATGAATGTGATTTCCAATTCAAACTATGTATAAATTCTTTTTAATTCACTTCTTGAAATAATTTGTAGTTTTAAAATTTCAGGTTCTGGAAAGTACTTAGCTGTTGCATCTCATGATAATTTCATAGACATCTATAACATAATGAGTAGTAAACGAGTTGGCATTTGTAAAGGAGCTTCCAGCTATATAACACACTTGGACTGGGACAAAAGAGGTACGTGTGTTTATCTATCTGTCTTTAACTTGAATAGGAAAATATATTTAAATACATACAATTAAAAACTTTTTTTTCTTGGAATTGCTTGTTTTCCACCACAGTAGCCTCACTAGAATTCTCTTTGGCAAATGTGATTTCTGCCATTACTCCAGTAAAGTTGCAGCTGTGAGAAGATACATTGTCTTTATCCAGTTCTTGTCCAATTGACTGCCCTCTGTGCTTTTGATCACGTTATTCAAAAAGTAAGAATTTTAATTTTTTGTTGAGGTGTTTTTGGTACCTAATTTTTGCAATTGATTTTACTGCTGAAAATGCAAACATGTTTGAGCTATTCTTGATGCGTTATCTTTTGTTAGTAAAACATGTTTCCCAGTTGACTTATTCTGAAGAGGTCACATTATCAAACCAAATATTAATAGAGGGTCTTGAGATAAATTGGCATTTGCACTAACCCATTGAACAATAGATGTTCAGTGCAATCAGACCATCAGATCTGATGCCATGAATTTTTCACTCCTAGGTTCTGCAACTAATGTTATACTAGCATGCTTAAGATGTTGATCAAATGTTCATTGTACTGGAAGAAAAAAACGTTTGCCTCAAAGAGTCTTGGTCAATTTTATTTTCACAGCTTCAACTAACACCAAAAATTTACCATGCGAAAAATACTAGAATGTTCTTGCTGTGTACATAGATAAATCTATTGATGCAAAAAATATGCTGTATCTTTCCCCTTTTTAAGTAACTTTACCAAAATCCTGTGGAAAAGGCCAAAGGAATTTTTGAGAAGCAGATATAGAAATATCTTCAGACACTTTTTCACAAAATTAAATTGAATTTCATAGTTCATTACAATTTACTAGAAAGATAAAATTGAACAACAGCCAGCGTCATAATAGCATCAGTAGAAAGTAATGTAATAAGGCTCTACATGCAGTGCAGTTATGGGCGAAGTGATGATACAAAGTCAGCATTTTGGTCACTTCATATTCATTAGCATGGAAAGTAGAATTTGACGATATTACTGACTATGAAAATTAAAATAAAAATTGATTCCGGTAGTGTAGAATACATATGGAACTCGTTGGACAAAATCTTTTGAGTTCAGTGGTGTTCAAACATATATTTTCATTGCTGTGAAATGGAGGGAAATAAAGTTGAAGGCAAATGTAATATATAGTGAGAACTATTCCTTACCTGGAGGGTCATATACCAGGATTTTCAATCACACGAGGGGCGGGCATGCTTTAAAAACAGGGCTCACAGGCACTGAACACTGGTGTTTTCAAAGTGTGTGTGGACGGGTAAGCTGGGAACCCACAATTAACACTTGTTAAGCTCCTTGAGGAGCATGATAATGGGCAGGGAAGGCAGGAAGGTGATTTTCATTGTGTAAATTCTAAAGCTAACAAGTCTGGTCCACGTTAGTGCACTGTTATGTAGCTCAGTGCATGGAGAAGTTAAGTAATCTTTTCAGGAAAAAGCTTTACCATTTAGGGAATTTTGTTTCTGATTGTTTGCAGCGATTTTTACTTGGCCATTTGGGTAATTCTCTGTGCAGTGAGGCTGCTGGCCCTATGATGCCCTGCCTCCTCTCTTCCACAAGACAGACAGGTCACATCATGGCTGCCACCTGCCTTTGGTGATCACGCTCTGCAGGCAGCTCCAGTCTCTTGGCAGAATTTGATACCACTAACTGTACTGAGCTTGACCCTTTTAGACGCCTACATTTGAAGATTGTGTTACGTTTGGAGTTTGGATCCAGAAATTATCCATGTGTTAAATTCACAAACCCAGATTAAAAATCATTTCATTCATCAGGTCCAAGTTGGATTAATGGTAATTATAACGGCGGAAGATGCCAACATAGATTGATGGGCCAGAATTCCGTTTTCTGTTTTGTGTTTATGTACTTTCTGTTAAATTCTGACCAGTTGGTGGACAAGGCTGAAAGATGTGCAACAAGAATTCTTAAATGGGAGGGAATGTGCTGTGTGCTGCATGGAAAAAAATGATTTTGCTTAGTGAATGGAATTTGGGATATATTGAGAGTGAAGCTTGCTGTGGGAAAGTAGAGCCACATCATAGGTTCTGCCTATTGAACCCAGGAAAATGGCCAGAGTGCTGACCGCAGACAGATTAGGTGTGGATACTGCAGCAGAAGAATGAATATGTTACAGACAGCTGAGTCTGTAGACAACTAGGTTCACTTGCTAGGCAGCAGGCTGATGCGTGACAGGAACCAGTGGAAGAAGTAGCTAATCATGGGGCTTGATAAATGAGATAAAATTTTTTAGTTTGCTTTCTTTTGTCATCTCACAAACCATATGCGCTATCTCCCTCAAAGTTAAGTTGAATCTTTTATTCCAAATAAGGACACAACTACTAGCATTCCATTTCAAACCCTTAATTTTAGCCACTTAGATGGCAAAATGAACATTTCCACTGATTCCTTGATGTAGAAGTCCCTGGATAAATTCCACTGTTATCAATTAATTGTAAAGAACTTAAAATGAATAAAAGTTCCTCTTAGTACATAGGTGATGCTGGCCAGGCCATGATTATGGCCTCAGAGGGAGAATGTTATTCTTGGACTAAATGGTGATTGGTTTTGCAATTGAATAATATGCTAGAATACTTCAGAAGCCATCAGTGGCTAATCAATGGTTAATATCATGTGATCTCAGCGTGAGACTGAGGTTATGTGGACAAGCTTTGTGGTGCCATTGGCTTGTTCTCTCCTCTGAAATCAAATCACTTTCTGCCTTCCTTCTAATCAATCCAGTTTTTTTGAAGTTGAGGATTAGTAGAAAACGTACTGGTATTGAGCAAAAACATGTTTTGCTATTCAACAGGAAAACTTTTACAAGTTAATACTGGTGCTAAGGAACAGTTATTCTTTGAAGCTCCTCGTGGAAAACCTCAGATCATAAATAATGCAGAGGTAAGACATATTGGCCCAAAATCCACTGGACAGGGAAAGTCTGTTAGACGTTTTCCTTCACAATATAGCTGAATAAATTTTGTGCTGGAAATGTAAGCTGATAGTGAGGTTAGTGGGGTCTGTGGAACCTTGGTGAACAATGCAAATGACAGAACAAAAACAGAAATCGCTGTAGAAACTCAGCAGGTCTGGCAGAATCTGTGGAGAGAAAGCAGAGTTAATTTTTCAAGTCCAATGACCCTTCCTCAGAACTGAAACCCGAAAAGTAAACCCTGCTTTCTGTCCACAGATGCTGCCAGACCTGCTGTGTTTCTCCGGAAATTTCTGTTTTTGTTTCAGGTTTCCAGCATCCACAGTTCTTTCGCCTTTTTTGTTTAATGAAATCGACAGTCTTTCTCACCAACAATGGAGAATTTAGAATTGAGAAAAACACAAATATATGACTAAGGAGCAAATTTGTTGAATTAGAATCAAATCATCCACAGAAAAGGGAAGAAATATTCTTCTAAAAAATATACTATTTAAAATTCTCTAACATCAATTCACTGTTTGTAAGAATGAGATCTCAGTTTCTTTTAAAAAGGCAGAGAAACATAGCAGGTCTGGCAGCTTTTGTAGAGAGAAAAGAGTTAACATTTCAAGTCCAGTGATCCTTTATCAGAACAGACATCACTGGACTTGGAACATTAACTCTGTTTTCTCTCCTCAGATGCTGCCAAACCTGATGTGTTTTTGTTTAAGATTTCCAGCACCTGCAGTTCATTATGTTTACCTCAGTTTCTATTAGTTACTTCCTAGACCAGAGAGGTAATGTAACATTTCCAAGAACATAATTCTTGTCATCAAAAAGGCAGCCATGCCAAGTACCAGTTCTAGCGTTTTGTGAGGCATTTAATTGCTAATTAATGTGCAAATGTAGTAATGTCTTGAAATTTGTGCAAACGTTGAGGGCAAGCTATTTTTCTTGACAGTTCTTCATCACCACAATTTATGTATTAATAATGACATGCAAATTAAACCTGTTATTTTGCAGCAAATTCTGGGCTTCCAATAAGCTGATCTGTTTTATGAGGTTTGTAGAAACTAGTAAAAAGAAATGAGCAAAAAACAAACTAAAATATAAGACTAAATAAAAACCCAAAGAACTGCGGATGCTGTAAATCAGGACCAAAAACAAAGTTGCTGGAAAAGCTCAGCAGGTCTGGCAGCATCTGTGAAGGAGAAAACAGAGTTAAC